CTTTCTTTCTTTCTTTCTTTCTTTCTTTCTTTCTTTCTTTCTTTCTTCTTCCTTTCTTTCATGTTTATTTATTTATACTTTTTTTTTAAACATTTATTCACTTTTTAAGAGACAGAGAAAGACAATATGAGTGGGGCAGGGGCAGAGAGAGAGGGGAACACAGAATTCAAAGCAGGCTCCAGGCTCTGAACTGTCAGCACAGAGCCTGACACAGGGTTCGAACTCACGAACTGTGAGATCATGACCTGAGCCAAAGTCGGACGCCCAACTGACTGAGCCACCCAGGCGCCCCTTTTGTTTATTTATTTATTCTGAGTGAGAAGGCGAAAGAGAGAGAGAGGTAGGAGCAAAGAGAGAGAGGGAGGAGGAAAGAGAGAGGGAGAGATAATCCTAAGCAGCCTCCAGCACAGAGCCCGACGCGGGGCTTAATCCCACAAACCGTGAGATCACGACCAGAGCTGAAATCAAGAATCAGATGCTTAACCGACTGAGCCACCCAGGGGCCCCAATGATGCCTTCATTTAAAAAAATATAAAATTAGCACTGATTCCAGGTTTTGTCTATATAATATCGCCACCCTCACTGGGATACATGTTCTGGAGAAAGAAGGAGGGAACCAGTGGGGGGAAGCAGCAGGTGGGCCCAAAGTTATACCTGCAAGAATGTCTTGTGGGTCTTGACAGAAAAAGGTTGAGAAATCTGTGTCAGGAAGTGGCCGGGTTCCACCTTCCTTATTTCGTGGTAACCCCAGGGTGGGGGTTGGGGGGTGGCATTATCTGGTGATGATAAGAAAATGAGGCTCAGGCAGATACAGGACTAGTGTTGTGGGTACAACTTTGTGCTCCAGAAAGATATGCTCAAGTTGTAACCCCTGGGACCTATGAATGTGACTTCTCTTGGGCCTAGGGTTTTTGCAAATATAATCAGCTTAAGATGAGGTCATGTGGGTGGGCCTAACGCAGTGATGGGTGTCTTCATTTTTTTTATTAAAAAAAATTTTTTTTTGACATTTATTTATTTTTGAGACAGCGAGAGACAGAGCATGAACGGGGGAGGGTCAGAGAGAGGGAGACACGGAATCCTAAACAGACTCCGGGCTCTGAGCTGTCAGCACAGAGCCCGACGCGGGGCTCAAACTCATGGGCCGCGAGATCATGACCTGAGCCGAAGTCGGCCGCTTAACCGACTGAGCCACCCAGGCGCCCTCAATGGGTGTCTTTATAAGCAGAGGGGAAATTGGACAACGCGCCCACAGAGAAGACAGAGAGAATCCCGGATGATGACCAGGCAGAGGCTGGAGGGATGCGCCTACAAGCCAAAGACTGTTTGCAACCAGAGAAGTCAAGAGGCAAGAAAGGAAGACTGCAGTAGATCCTTCCGAGGGAGCATGGCCCTGCTGATACCTTGAGTTTGGACTTCTAGCCCCCAGAACGTGAGAAAATAAATACATCCCTGTTCTTTTTTTAACATTTATTTTGAGAGAGAGAGAGGGAGAGAGAGGAGAATCCCTGCTGCAAGGTCTCAAAAACCGGAGGAGGAGCAGAAGTTTGGTTCACACATCCTGGGGAGCTTTGAGAGCATGAGTGCGGGCAAGAGGGTAAGAACCTGCTGAGTGTTTAGAATATTTGCGCTTCATCGAGGGATCGGTGAGGGTAAAGGAACGGCCTTGCCCGGTTATATCAGCTGTACTCCCAGAAGAAGGGAGAAACTCGGGAGTTCCCTTGCGATTTAGGGGTCCTTAAAGAGTGCAGGAGGGGGGGGTGGAGGGAAGGACTAGATTGGTGTCAGGGGCTGTGGCTGCAGGCTGTTGTCCAGGTGAGGGCTCGGTGCCCGAGGAGGAGAACCACCGAGTCTGGGTGAGAGGCAGGGACCAGAGAAGGCAGGAGCGGGCCCCGGGGCAGGATCAGCCCACAGGAGGCCCAGGGAAGTCAAGCTGGCTCGGGAGCTGTTGACATACAGAGCATACGTGATTTCTGATGATAAATCACCCTGGAAAGGCATTAAATATCGTGTTCGTGAGTGACTCAGAACCCAAGTATGTTGCTCCTCTTGTAATGTGGGCGGCCAAGTTATGTCGAACGAGATGAAGGGGTTAGTATCTCATGAATGTGCGTGGGAGGCTGACTGCATTGGAGAAAGAGTTAATAATTAAACCGTTTGCGCCACCACAATGGGCCGGGGCTGGCCAGGGTCCCCGGGCTGACCCCACTCCTCACCCGCCCCGTTGGTATGTGGCCCACATGGGAAGACCACAGGAAGCTCGGACCTCGGGCCCTGAACAACAAGGCATT